CTTTTACAGAAGCACAAACAAGAAAGAACGAGTTGAATTCAGATAGGGTAGGGGAGAGACATAATTTTGGGAATATGACTTCTTATATATTCAATTGGAGATAATTGTACAGATATATTATATAGATTAAAGGTAATTTTATATATATTTTCCACTTACTTTACTTATTTCCTCCTTTTAAAAACCGTTCCTCAGCCAGGTGCTAGTGGCTCACAGTTGTAATCCTAGCTACTCAGGAAGCTGAGATGTGAGGATCGCGGTTCAAAGCCAGCCCACGCAGGAAAGTCTGAAACACTTCTCTCCAATAAACCACCAGAAAACTGGAAGTGGTGCTGTGGCTCAAGTGGTAGAGCGCTAGCCTTGAGCTTAAGAGCTGAGGGACAGCGCTCAGGCTCAGGGTTCAAGCCCCACAACCGACAACAACAACAACAATAACAACAACAAAAATATTCTTCATCAAAGAAGGAAGATGCATTTAATATGACTGAATGGATAAATGAATAAATGTGCAAACGAATTAATACATTTATTGATTCCAGATGTTTTTGGTATTCAAATTTTTGTAGTAATATTGAATACCACAGGTAATATGTGTTTTATGATGAGAACATTAGCTTTCAGTAGTGAAATCTTGCTGCATTTGGTGATTTAACTTTGCTAGGGGTTTAATGAGAAATTTGAATCATTTATGTTTTGAGATATACCTAGAGAGTATTAAAATTTCAAATCAAATGAAGCTATATTCATTTAAAGAATACTCTTCCATAGTGCTGTAATTCCCTAAATGAAGAGGAAAATGACAATCAAGAAAGGAAAGCTTTTGTTACAAGAATAATTCCTAGGTTAATTTAAATGTTTTTTGAATAAGTAAAATACTGAAATATTTAAAAAGTGATTCAGATACTCTGTGCATGAATTTCTAACTGGAAATGATGAAACTCAAGAAGATGAATGAAGGAGGGGGTAAAAATGTTTGACAAGAAATGTGTTACAGTTACATGTGTAACTGTAACCCATCTGCACATCACTTTGAAAAAAATTGAATTAAAAAAAGATGGAGCAAAAATAATGAGAAAAATAAAGCAACTTTCTTGAAACCAAACTGACATTAGGCTACTAATAAAAGTATCTATCTATCTATCTATCTATCTAACTACATCTACCTATGTATATATATATATATATATATATATATATATATATACACACACACAAACACAGACAGATACAAATACAAATAACTATATATTCCTATAAAAGTTGTGAGAACACAGCAACATGTTAGAAACCATTTAGTTCTTCCAGATTCTGAATAAGATGAATAATACTGAATAAGATTAATATTATCCTTACTTATTATCACAAATATTAGATTTATCAAGAAAGATGTTTAGGTAAGAGTTTTTCAACTGTGATTTTGTTAAATCCCATGCAAGATAAGTAGAGAGTGCTACATCAGTGTGTGACATAAATCACTGACCTACTGTGAAGTTTAGATAAAGCTCCATATAAAAATGAGGTCTGGGAAGTAGCGCTGTGGCTCAAGTGGTAGAGTGCTAGCCTTGAACTGAAGAGCTGAGGGACAGCACCCAGATTCAGAGTTCAAGCTCCATGAATGATTTCCCCTTCCCAACAAAAAAGGTCTGAAGGCCTTGTCTAGCATGGGCATGCATGTTGAGGTGGGAAGATTCCAGTCAATGGAACACTGTTACAGGGCAGAAGGAGGCTGATGCATGGACTGCATGCCTGGAGCAGTGCAACCAAGGGGAGATCAAGCACAGAGCTTTCCTGGGAATCTGGCAGCTCCACTGCAGGCACAGTAATTACTAAAGACTATATGTAGGAGAGTGACATGATCACAAAGATAGATAGATAGATAGATAGATAGATAGATAGATAGATAGATAGATAGATAGACAAATAGTTAAATAGGTAGACACATACATGCATACATATGTAAAACATAACAGCTCATGGGAAAATATTAAATATTATTAAAACATAAATTGAGGTATTAGGAGATTATTAATTTCAAAGTTTGTGGAAATATGCTAGATTTGGATACAGATAAACCTGCCAAAGATCTCTCATTTCTACACAAATAACCTCAAAAATTACACTTGCAAAAAATATTAAACTTGATATCACAGATTTGTCCAATTTTCCAACTTTACACAAAGGTAGATGTTGATAATTATTTTGTTTATTTTTTCACTACTAGATTTTTAAAAAATTTTTCTCTTTATTTTTTTGTTCTTTCTTCCTTTTTTTTAATTTTTCCAATCCTGAGGAGGCTGGTTTCTGTCCCTCAGCCTTTTGTGCTAAAGGATAGCGCTTTACACTTGAGCTATAGTGCCATTTCGAGCCTTTTGCTGAGTAGTTTATTGGGTATAAGAGTCTCACAGACTTTTCTGCCTGGTCTGGCTTTGAAGCCAGATCTCAGCCTCCTGAATAGCCAGGATTCGAGTCATGTGCCACAGGCAGACAGCTAGAATTCCCCTTTTTTTTCTTTCTTTCTTTTTTTTTTTTGGTCAGTGGTGGGGCTTGAACTCTGGGCTTGGGCACTGTCCCTGCACTCTTTAGCTCAAGGCGAGCACTCTACCACTTGAGCCACAGTGCCACTTCCAGTTTTCTAGTGGTTTACTGGAAATAAGAGTCTCACAGACTTTCCTGCCTGGGCTGGTTTTGAACCACGATCCTCAGATCTCAGCCTCCTGAGTAGCTAGGATTACAGGCGTGAGCCACAGCGCCCGGCTTAGAATCCCTTTAAAAGAGATGTAGTTGAATGAAGAGGAAAGAAGATGGGAGAATGGGGTCAGAAATTCAATGTATATCCTACAAAATTAAGAAAAGTGAGGGAAGGGTTGGATTGGAAAGGATGGGTGAAAATGTTGAAAGAGGTGGCATTGATCAAGACACATCATATTTATAAACTGTGTTGTTAAAAAGCAACTCCTTTGTATACTACCTTAAAGAAAATAAAAGGAAAGAAATACTATTAGCATGTCCTAAATTGACTATAAAGAATTAAAGTAATAACATAATTGTTATTATAATAGGCATTTCATGAGGCTTTTGAAGATTTGACATAGACCTTTAGACTATTTCTATACTGAAAAAAACACTAAGAAACAGGAAGTAATTCAGATTATAAAACGTCATTGGATCATTGCATTTTAAAGTTTTAATTGTAAATTAGATGTGGTCATTATTCCTCTGTCATGGGCACAAATATTTATTTTTTTCTGATGCTTGCCTGGAAGCTCTACTGTGTACCATAGGTCAAGGTCTATATCTTCAATAAAGAACAATTCCAGGAAAAAAGACTCCAAATACTGACACTGTAGGTTAGTGGTGTAAAAGCTGCTGTCATTCACGTAGCTTCCAAAATAAAGCAGCAAGAGCAGTCAGGACTTGAGATTTTCAGACATAATGTCCTCAAAAATTAATGACGTTAGGACCAACTTCATGAATACAGAAATCTATTTGACTTCAGTTATTTGAAAGGTTAGGACTTCTAGAACTATTAAGAAGTCCTTTTACAGATTATCATCATTTGTTACTGTGTTTTAATAAACTAAATAAAATACGTTAAACTTCTGGTAGCTCTTCAGTTCTCCTTATCTTAAATGGAAATATACTTACTGGCATAGATTTATATACTCCATCTTCTCATCAAGATATACTTGACCAAATTTGTCATGCAAGTAAGGCCTTATTGCGATGGCCATACTGGAGAGTAATGATGATGTGTTAGGTAGGAACAGTTGCTTTTAAGGAAGTAAGACTGGCTTAGTTATAAATGCTATGCCTATAAAACTACCCAGGAAACCTAGACTAATACCTGGCTGACAGAACAGTTTCACAAGTCAGAAAGGTGATCTCTTGCTAGGAATATTAAGATGTTTTTATGACCCGGCGAAAGAAGAATATTCATGAGGTATAGGTACTACAACTGAAATCTGACATGTTTTCTTAGATTTGTTTTCCTCATTTTTAGTCTATAAATAATAGAAGGTTTTAAAAATCCAATTAAGATTTTACAAATAAACTTCCAAGTAGAAATAAATAGATCTCAAGCTGTGATACTTTCATTAGTGAAAAATAAATCAGCTTCCAGTATATTTTCAAATCTTCCTATATATATATATTTTTAATTTTTCTATATCTTTCTAGCCAAAAGCTGGCAAATTTTCCTAAATCTCAAAGGCAATTATATGTTATTGATAAGATAGAATAAAAATATTAAAGTTAAAATCCCTATGTATTATGCAAGCTGCTTCATGAAGTAATGACCTTCCAATAACCATGTTTTTCTCTATTTAAAAATTAATATTTTGGGGCTGGGAAGGTGGCTCAGTGGTAGAGTGCTTGCCTTGCACGCATGAGGCCCTGGGTTCGATTCCTCAGCACCACATAAGCAGAAAAAGCCAGAAGTAGCGCTGTGGTTCAAGTGATAGAGTGCTAGCCTTGAGCTGAAGAGCTGAAGGACAGCGCCCAGGCCCAGAGTTCAGGCCCCACAACCGACAAAAAATAAAAATAAAAATAAATATTTTGCTGATCACAATATACCTTAGCTTTGGCTTTCACCTCAATGACATAAGTATTCTAGTTTCAAATGATCTAATAGGAAATTAACAGTTTGTTATTAATATGTTATCACATGACCACTACATCTTCCCATGTTTACTATACAAATACTATGGTAATAAAACTCAGCATGATTAAAGTCAGTATAATAACAATTACAGTTTTTAAAAATAGCTAAATGTAAATAGGAACCACAATAAATCACCAGCTTTCAGAATGCTATTTCACATCACAATAATCTTATTACTCTTTAGGTTTGTAGCTTAAACTTGACAGCATATTAAAGAAATATACTTTTATCTTTGTTTTCAACCTGAAAAGACAGATCAAACTATTGTACATGATTTGCCATATAAAATACTTGTTAACATTTTAGACATAGATTAGATCTGTGTTTAAGTCACACTTACCCATAAAATTGAGATAGCCTTCTCCACCAAGGGCATGAGTGATGAGCCGAATCATCTTGTGGAGCTGTATTCCCCGATCAATAACTGGTGTAAAAGGAGCTAGAACACTCATGTTCGTGTACATTTCAGCATCCATCAACCAAAAGGCCAGTGTCTTATCACCGACCAGTGCCTACAAAAGTAAAGCCCACTGAGATAAATGAAAAGCCTATGTCCTGAGAAGTTGTAATTTATAAAAGAATACTACATGCTTACACAGAGGGAAAGCATTTTGCAAGTATTTTTAAATTTTAAAGGTATTCAAGAAATGAGATGTGATATTAAAAAATGAGACACATTTGTTTTTAAAACTGACTTCATGTTACACATTTTATTCAGTTGAACAGCACATAATTTTTTTATTCTTATAGTATGTACTATTAAACAGTCATTTAACTTGGATGACTGTAAGTTGAAAATTTTAAGAAACTCAGAAATATATATTTATTTAGAAATGATTCCATTATTTAAAAAGAAATGAGATCATAAATACCATAAATTCATATAATCCTGTCATGTGTTCACCATTATAACAAATATATATTTGAGGAAAAATTAAATATTTTCTTAAGTATAACATTCAATAGCCAATAATGTTTGTCATCAAGCTTTTTTTAAACTACACCCAGTCAAAGAAAAAAATCACTAAAGGCTTAAAGAGAGACTTCTCTGTAAAGGAAATAAGAATGCCAATAGATACATGAAGAGATGCTCAACATCTCTTGCTACAAAACAAATGCAGATCAAAACAACATTGAGATACCACCTCACCCCAGTTAGCATGGCTATAATCAAGAAATATAATAACAGATTCTGGAGGGGAAGTGGCTGAAAGGGAACACTACTACACTGTTGGTAGGAGTGTAAATTTGTTCAACCACTCTGGAAAGCAGTATGGAGGTTCCTCAAAATGCTACACATACAGCTCCCGTATAACCCAGCAATCCCACTTCTGGGCATTTACCCAAATGACCACAAACAAGGTCATACTAAAGCTACCAGCACAACTGTGTTTATTACAGCATTTTTCACCATAGCTAAGATATGGAACCAAATTAGATGTCCCTCAGTAGATGAATGGATTTTGTGTGTGTGTGTGTGTGTGTGTGTGTGTGTGTGTAATGGAATTCTATCCTTCCATCAGAAAGAATGACACTCCCCATCTCTAAGAAAATGGAAGGACTTGGAAAAAATCATGTGTGTGTGTGTGTGTGTGTGTGTGTGTGTGTGTGTGTGTGTGTGTGTGTGTGTGTGTGTAATGGAATTCTATCCTTCCATCAGAAAGAATGACACTCCCCATCTCTAAGAAAATGGAAGGACTTGGAAAAAATCATATTAAGCCAGACCTAAGAAACATAGGTCCTATGGTCTTGGTCTCCCTTATGTGTAATAATTAGTATATATTTAGGAAAATATTAGTAGATGAGCAAAATAGCTCAATAGCTATGTATATGACCATATAGGATGATTCTAAGTGAAATGAACTCCAAGACATGGACACAAGAGGTTTTTTGTTGTTGTTGTTTTCTCAATGTACTACATGATTTATTTATTTATTTTTCATGATTTATTTTTTATTTGTGGTTTCACTCCCATGGTTTTCCCCGTTGTCATTGTTTTTGGTTTTAGTACATTGGGTATTGTATATACGTCTATATGAACTAGGGAAGGGTAGGAGAACAACAAAATGCTGAGACAAAGGACAAAAGAAGAACCTATGCAAAAGTGATATCCACAAGACAGTATGTTAGATATTATCTGCACAAGTTGGGAGGGGCTGGGGGGAGGGAAAGAAGGAGAAAAATGAGGGAAGGTATAACAAGTTAGACAAAAAATATAATCACTACCTTACTTGTGCAACGGTAAACCCTCTGTACATAATAATAAAATTTAAATTAAAAAATGAAATGTTTTCATCATCAAGACAAAAACATAACATATTGTGAAATGTAAAGTAGGCAATAATCTGAAATCTCAGTATCCCAATTATTTTCCCTTGTGACAAACACTTTTTTCCTGTAAACATACTGTTACATACAACTAATGTATTTTAATTCAATTGTCTTTTTAAAGTAGTGCTGCAATATCTATTGCATTCATTCTAATAATTTTTCTACTCCTTCCAAATTTTATTTCTATCCACTTCAAATAGTTTGAATACATGAGTGTTTACTTTTGGTTAGAAATTCTGATTCTCTTAAAAATTATTTAGATAACTTGTTCTAAGTATGCAGAAGAAGCTAATTTCCACATTAAATTTCACTTTTAAAAATACTGCATTGTCATATTGTTAAGAACTGTTAATCTTAGAAATTTAATTGTTTAGATTAAGAATTTCTGAACATTTTAACAATAACAATTATTTCCACAATGATGTACATTTTATCTATTATTCTATATATTCATTGTTTTATAAAGATGCATTTTTGTATTTATATTTTTAATCAAGGTTTATAATAGGTAATTAGTATATTTTCTGTACTCTTGATAATTTTAATACAAAGCTTAATTACTTGAATTTTTAAAGTTATAAAATAATTACTGCTAAATTTTTATTCCTTTACCGACTTTGTATATAGACATAAGATAAATCTAACAGTTCTATTTTAAATAGTTTATTCATTTCATGTATTTATTTTTATATTGATTTGAACAAAATATACGTATATTAGGAAGTTGCACTAGGCTATATCTTGCAGTAAAGCATAACAGAAAAACGTAAGTTGTAAGTTATTCTAATTTGTCTATATTATGTATTTGCTAAAGGTTTGCCATGCTTAACTTCTCCCAACCCTCACACTTTATTCTGTCAATTAATATCATTCTTTTCTATTTTGGTCTTTGTTTTATAGATATTCACTTGACTTGCTGTATGGATAATTAATATTACCTATATATTGGTAAGAAAATAGTGCTCCAACTTGGAAGTTGCAAAATTTATCATATGTTTACTCTGTGTGTTAGAAAACTTTTGTAAAAGGACAAATAAAGAATATTGACATTGTAGGTCAACTTTCCTGTCTCAGCTCCTTGAACTTGTCATTATGAAACAAAAGCATTATATATATATATATATGCATGCTTTATTCCAATTGAAGAAAAATGAGCTACCATAGGATTTAGCCCATGGGTTTTAGAAATCCCTAGTCTATTTGCATATTCTTATGAATATGAAACAAACCCTGAAAAAACACAATCCAATATGGGATATATTTCTACTGAAATACTACTAAAATGTATTATTTTAGTTTCAGTGTACTTAACAAACACTTTCACAAAAACTGTATCCTTTTAACTCCATAAGGAAAAATTATATTATTTACAGTTATTACAGTTAAAATGATTGTAAAGGGATAATTTCCATTCTTCATTTTCCATGAAGACTCAGTTGCTGCTAAAAGTAGTACAGTGCCATGCTTAGAGATAAAAATGGAGGGTGAAGAAGCTTTTTGTTTAAAACATGATGGGAACATGCAACACTGGACAAGATTGTTTTTTTCCCCTCCCTGGGATGGCTTCATCTGGAATGTGGTATCCGAGTAACATAACTGAATTAGAAAAGGAGATTCTTAGGTGGAATGCAGCTGTAAGAAGATTACAAGACTGGAAGAAGTACATCTATTTGAAATGAGTGAGAATTTTAAAGTACTAAAGAACATGAAATTTAGCCAGTGGGAGAGAAAATTAAACTGGAATCTGACTTGGTCTAGAATATAAGTGGATTGAATGGCCAGCTTCAAAATATAGATATGCACTGACAGGATGGCCTCTGCTGTTTGGAAAATACATCAGGCTGCATTAGACAGGAGGTACTCAAGCTAGTAGGTGCAGTGGTTGGGTCACCACTTAGCAGTTTGTTGAGGTTGAGGAAAAAAGTAATGAACGTTTGTCAAAGGCATAAGAAAAACAAAAACAAAAACAAAACCTCTTGAAAGAAAGTAAAGTGAAAACTAGGATAAGTAGGATAACACCAATATTCTTCTTCATGCAAAGGAAAACATTTAACCCTTGCAACTGACATGCACAATGAATTATGTAATTTGGTAAGGCAAACACAGAATTGCATTTAGAAGCTGTAATTTCTAGATCTACAAATGATCTTAAAATAACTTTCAAGTTTTCATATAAGGCAAATATATATTTAAAATGTTATAGTCACTGTATTAAACAATAGTAGCATGTATTTTGACATGTCGTTAACAATAAAGGACATGCAAAAGGCAAATGTTAAGATACAAAAAAGTAATTTATACCCATTTCCTTACCTGGTCGTGACTCTCTGCATAAGCAATGCACTTCTCAAGGTGGCGCCTGTTTGTGAGTGTATATACTATATTGCCCATATTCCAGTCTTCATCTTTAAACTCTTTAAGTAACTAGTCACAAGAAAGAAACAAACCTCTCAGCAAACTACTATTTTTCATTCTTTAAATATCAATCTGAGAGCCACGACCAAATGAGTCCAAATCATTTGACACGCATGCAGACAATAATCCATATAATCATATAATCCATATAATCATAACAGCTTTCATACTAACACGTAAATGAAGGATCTACAGCATGTTTGTTTGTACGTGTGCTTTTCCTTTGTGCAGATGGCTTAAACTACACTCTAATATCTTCGCAAACTTTTTCCTAGTAATAGCTGCTGCCTCTTGATAAGTGTCCATTATAAAGTATTGTCGTATAATACACTTCCCTGTACATTTCACAAACCTTAGATATACTTGCAATTATTTTAGATTTGAATGCCTTTTAATAGGTACAGTGTTTTCCATTAATGATAAGGAAAGCAATAATTATTTCCAAGTTTCAAGGTTTATTTTTGAAAAGTAATTATATTCTTAGTAGAGCAGATGGATCACACTTCCAGTTCATTTTCTTTAATCTGGTTCTACTCGCTTAGATTGCTATGATGTTACTGATCTTGCCAAGTCATTCACTTTTTCAAGAATCACTTCTTTCTTGGGCAAATACTTGTACAGGATTCTGTTGATCTACTTTCCTCCCATGAATTGCTTTGTTTCTTGAATTGCTTTTTATTCTACCATAGACTAATTCTTGTTTAATTTCTTCCCATCACTATGGACATGAAAACCTTCTCTTTCTCTCAGTATGGCAGAAAACCTGATAGTCCTCTCAATGTTATATCTTACATCTGGACTGTTTTGCTATTCAGTATTCTCTTTCCGTTGCTTTTCTGTTCAAACACTAGTAAATTATATGATGGGAAAAATTTTAAGATGATCCAGAACTCTTGCTTCTTTCTACTTCTATCTCAGTGCAAACCCATTACCTTGAATGTCAGTAGATGCTTTGATTATTATAGTGTTTTTTGTCCTCTGAAGAAAGTGTGAGGATTTAATTTAGCAATGCTTTAAGATGCTAGATTTAAGGTGACATGGGATAATGCCCCAAATCAAATGCCAGTTTTGGTGCCAGGATGAACAACTGATACATGACAACAACACGGATGAGAATACGTCTTAGTTACTATTTGTAAGTATACAACTTATAAAAATAGTAAAAAATCACTGTGTTTAAGGGCTTTAAAATATAACTTTTTGGTATGAGCATTTTAAAATATAACTTTTTGGTATAAGGGTTTTAAAATTTAACTTGCTGGTATTGTTAATTAAGGTTCAAATTAAGCTATGAACATAGCTTTTTTGTGTTCTTTATTTTATTTTTTGTCAGTCATGGGCTTGAACTCTGGGCCTGGGTGCTGTCCCTCAGCTCTTCAGCTCAAGGCAAGCACTCTACCTCTTGAGCCATTGGCCAGCTTCTGTTTTTCTGGTGGTTAATTGGAAATAAAAGTCTCAAGGACTTTCCTGCCTAGGCTGGCTGTGAACTGCTATACTCAGATCTCAGCCTCCTCCATAGCTAGGAATACAGGCGTGAGCCACCAGCACCTGGCTATGAATATGTTTTTAAGCAATTACATAAAATAGAAGATGATATTTGTCTTCAGAGAATTTATAATCTAAGACAGGATAGTCATACATTAAACATAGGATTGTCTGCCAGTTGTATAATGCACTCCCTGCTTGAGTATACAGGTATTAAAATGTTTATTAGAGTAAATATAGAGATTTGTGAAAAAAGTATCAATCTCTTATAAAGGGTATGCCCACTTTGAAATATTCTTCATAACTACTTAAAGAATGGTGGAAGCTTTTCAGCAAGAGGTTATGAATTGAAATTTGGCAATTATGAGGACAATATATCTTTGTAAAGAGGTGAATAATAAGCAAGGAAGAGTGAGAACAAACCTGATAGCAAGGTAAGACACATTAAAAAAAGCACATAAATTTTTTCAAGTAACATATATAAAGCTACTTTTGATACAGTAAAGCCAGAACAATCAGTTACCTGTTTTTTGTTTTTGTTTTGTAATTTTTTCAGCCTAACCATCATTAAAATACTTGGTTTTGAACCTGCTATGTTTAGAGAACAAAAATGACTAAAGGAGCATTGTTCGGTTGATAGAGGTTTAATATCATCTCTTGGTACTGCATAACTTCCTTGGGGTAAAGGAAAGAAAGGAAAAGACTACAGTAATTGCATCATTCACAGTAGGTCCTATGTTTTTCAACACAAAGTGAAGCACTTCCACCATTACAGAACCGTATCATGTGTACTATGATCAGTTAGCTCTATGTACATTTGACTTCTTACACATATTTAGTCTACAAGTATATGGCCAAAGGAAAAGAGTTCTATGTGAAATATAAGTTATATAGATTCTTTAAACATTTGTTAAATTTAAGTATACATGTATATAATATATATATGTATATATATAAAATTCAAAGTAACTGAACTTTAATTAAACCACAAAACAGAAGTAGAGGTGTAGCTCAAGCTGTAGAATGCCGGCCATGAGCAAAATAGCCAAGTAAGAGTGTATAACCCTGAGTTCTAGTCAGAGTTCCAGCACAGTTATAAAATAAACTTGTATTATATTGAAAAACAATGTATTAAATATTTTGTACAATTAATTATTCCTTCCTAATAACTGACATTTGGTCAACAGACTTTCAAATGCTGAATGAATAAATACAAATTTGTTGAGGGAATGAGCATATTGTGAAGCAAATATGGTGAACTAAGAAAAAACTTTTAAACTAATGGATAAAAATTAAAGAGGAATTAATGCTCTGAGGTAAAATTCAATAATGTTTCAGCACAGATGCCTAACTTTTCATACAATTGCAATGACAATGCAAAATTCCATTTGTAGAGTTAATACTACATTCTCTATATTTTTTCTTTTCCTTTCCTTTCCTTTCCTGGACAATAAAACCATGCAGACTCTTTATTATTTCTAGTAAGTTTTGAGAAACACATTATTAAAAAGCCTAAGCATACTGATACAAGAGAGTAGTCTAATTACAATAGTAGTAATTAGTGATCCTATGAAATTAAAAACTAGACATATTAATTAAAAATAGACATACAGAATACATAAGAACAAAATATTTATATGGCATATTACCTGAATCCATTTATCTGGAATTGCCATGGCTAAGCGATAATCAAAGCCACCTCCTCCTTGGGAAATTGGAGAACATAGAGCTGGCATTCCTGATACATCCTAGAACAAATATATAAGCATCAATAGTTCAACTTGCTTATTTTGTTTGGTAAACACTTTCCCGATTATAAACCTGAGGCCAATATGTCAAAACAATAATTAAGGACATATATTTCTGAGGTCTTTCAGTCACATAATTGTAATATTGATATTTCCATTTAAGGTTTTTAGTATTGTTGGGTGGTATCCAAGTATATACAAATGTATTAACTGAAACATGGTAGATTCAAAGGAGAACTCAAATAGTATAGACTCAAGGGAAAACTCAAAGAGTTTTTAATTTCTTAGAAGGCAAAGAAAAAGTTAAGCAAAATAGAACACAAAGAATTGGGTACTCCAAAGGGGTGGGGTGAGGTCAAGGAGAAAGGGATGGCCAAAGAAAGAGGGAAGGGGGGGATGCAATTAAGAATTAAAAATATATGGGCTGGGAAGGTGGCTCAGTGGTAGAGAGCTTGCCTTGCATGCATGAGTCCCTGGGTTCCATTCCTCAGCACCACATAAGCAAAAAAAAAAAAAAGCCGAAAGTGGTGCTGTGGCTCAAGTGGTAGAGCGCTAGCCTTGAGCTGAAGAGCTGAGGGACAGCGCCCAGGCCCAGAGTTCAGGCCCCACAACCGGACCCCCCCAAAAAATATAATATATATATATACTATATATATATATCCTACAAAATTAAGATGAGACAGGGGTGAGCTGGAGAGGAATGTGTAAGAAGGTTGAAAGGGCTGACAATGATCAAGATATATTGTTTGTAAACTAGTTTGTTTAATGGTAACTCCTTTGTATACCTCCTAAAGATAAATTTTTTAAAAAAGAAAGAAAAAGAAATTGGGGTTATTTATAAAAATAGCTTTTCAAAGTTCTGGTGAGACCAAGTCACCAGGGATTACCCACAGATTAATATTAAAGATCAAGATAAAATTTCTCAAGAAATTTTCTCAAGAAAACATTGGGACATATTGCCTATTATGTCTAAATGTTGTCTTAGGATATAGAATCTATTGATACATACATACTAAATATGCTTGAATACTAAATCTGAGTCTAGGAAAGCTGACACATTACATGATTATTTGACGCTGTTTGTAAAAGTATAGAGTTAGTAACTATTCTTTAAAAATTTTAAAGTAGAAAGTAACCATAAAATTCACCAAAGTAAATATACTTGCTGTATAAAATGTTGATATTGACTTATGTAAATGATGGTTTTGAATAAAATGAATATATTCCTAATTCCTTAGAAATTTTATAAGGCATTTATAACTATTCCTGGAGGGACAATTCAGATATTTTAATTAATGAAATAGTTATTCTGAATGATAATTCAGGAAAAAAAACTTTTAACACTTATATTCTTCATTATACATAAATTCACATATCTACCGTAGAATTTTATATAAAATTACATTACTTATTCATTACACTACTTCCTTTCCTTAAAAAGGAGTTCATGAGGATCAATTTCACATTTTGAAGAGATTCCCATTAGACAGAAAGTGAAGTATTGAAATTGAAGTAGTTTTCAATTCAAGTAGAACAAATTGAAGTCGCATCTTGCTTTTTAACAAAATTTAAACCCAGGTAATATAAAGTAAGCTAAAGTCTAAAGTTTCATTGGTAGAAAACACTGATAATCAGACAAGAGCTCTCTGGATGATGAAACTATTTTACTTGAAATGAGTGGAAAGATCAATGTAACAATTTTAACTTTCAAGTATTAAATAATTGCTTCTTTTCTTCAGTATCCACATCTGATTTGAGTTGTCATTAATTGTTTGTAGCAAGTTTTCATATATAGTTCTCTGCTTGGGATTGAAATAAAAATAATTGACAAACTAATTATTTTTTTGATGTCTGACAGACAAATTAAAATGCTATATATAAAAGGAAAATGAAAGTTTAAAATGTACTCTGATGATAAAAGAGATTCAGTGTAAGTACTAACAAAACTTACAAGATAGACTTGAATATAGGGAGCTAGTGAGTTTGAGTGGGGACATCTAGATTGTATAATACTTTGGGGATTGCTTGTTTTTCTATTCTACTTAAGTACTTATTCCAGGAATTTAAGGCCCCTGATCTTATTCTCAGAAAATATTTATAAGGTAAAATGCCTGAAGACAAGAAAACTGTTCTCTATCTAGAAACAAACAGAGAAATCAGCAATAGCTGGATCTTTGGAGTTTGAAAAATAATGGATAGAGAAAAAAATCAAAAAATAATAAATACTAAAGTAGAAAGACTCATTCCAAGAAACTAAATGCCAACTAAACAAACATAAACCTAATCTTAACTCCTTTCTTTTAATAAAAAGTAGCTTTATTATTTTATATGCCCATAACTAGACTTTGTATAGAACAATTTTTACATACTAAATTCAATTTTAATAATTCCTAGTTAGAGAACTCAGTAAACCAGGGGGACTTTAAATCTAAATTTAAATTAGCATAAGCATTTAGCAAACTTCTTAATTTATCACATTTATCACCAAGAGGGGAATTGTCAATTATCCATATACCAAATTATATCATTACACTGCAGCTTTGGGACAGTTAATCATGAACTTTCAGTAATCATAATAACTAGTGAACATTTGGCAATCTGAGAGCAATAACATAAACAAGAAAGGTAATAGAATAAGAAGAAGAAAGGTTTCAAAGATGCTGGCAGGCAGCGAGCCACGCCATCTCTCCTGATTAAAGCAGAAAAGAAAAAAATAATAAACGAATTCATAGACAGACGCACATTAATATTCAATTCTTTTCACTGCTGAAGGTCTCTGGGTGGATGGACCTGTCCACTGACTAGGATATTTTACTTTGTAACTACTGGTATTTTCTTTTGAACAACAGAATACTGACAAGTAATTAGTGTATATCATCTCCTAATAAGTACATTGAATCCTAAATAATGTGCCATCCATGTAAGACAGCTGTAATAGGGTACCATTTCATATTTGTATTTATTGACAATATGAGATTCGTTACTTAAATCCTGTACACTGAAAATGTGCTTTGTATTAAGGGGGTCAAAAAGTATGAAGTCATTGTGTTTTTACCTCAGCTATTGTTATCGAATCTGGATACAAAGTGTGAACCAAATGATTGGCCAACATGAGGTAAACCAAGGCATCTTCATCTACTTGCAGTCCAAAATATTCATTGTAATCACCTGAAAAATCCTGACCTAAAGAATAGAAAATAATTATGCATATATTAGGTCAACATGCAAATCTTCACTCTGGATAGACTTACCCAGAAATGGATAGAGCATTTGTTACTGTCAGAAAGTGTAGTATGTTACCAACAGCAAATGTACTAAATAATTCCTTTTCAACTTTTAGAATGCAGATATTGGTGAAATTACTGTTTTTGAAAAAAATAGAAATTTAATTTACTTCAATTAAATTTTACAGCAGAAATATAATGTGATACAATACTGAAAAGTACTCTAGATTTTAAAATGTCAATATATTTTCTATCACATCAAAAATATACAGATATTAGTTTCTAAAGAATCTAATGACAGTCTTCTGAGATACAGTATGAGAAACACTATGAAACTATTTTTGTTATATTTAACATGTGCTTCAATTTTTTACAATAAAGATTTCCTATGACAAATGATTCACTTTCTATCACTTCTCCTAAATTCTAATGTTGTGACTTAAAGTATATTTAAGACTATCCGATTTACATTCTAGTCTCTTAATAATTTACTCTTATAACTACATAAAATCAGTGTTTAAATGCCACCTTCCCAGTTAATTCTTCTTCCTTCCCATCATCCCTCCCTTCTTTCCTTTCTTCTTTCTTTCTTTTTCTCTTTTTTCCTCTTTGTTTCTGTTTCTCTGTCTTTCCATCTTTTTTATGTTTTTCTGTTGTTTTTAGCCCTCACATCCCAGTTATTAAAGGAATCATAAGAAAAGATACAATGCAGGAAAACCACCAACCATCCTTCACATTAGGTTGAAAAAGGAAAAGTGATTTCTCCCCTTCATCTCTCAACTCCCACCCCGATCCCCACCAGTTTAAATTCCTAGGTTCCTTGATTGGGAGTACCATTGGCAAGGGAGCTGGTGAACAGAGGAGCCTTCAATCTGGCCCCTGTAAATCTCAGGAGAAAGGAGCCGCGGGCAGTCGGTGAAGCCAAAGTTTATGTGGTGGGTGTGTGAAGTGCTTGTTCACCTTGCTGTTGTGTATACAAGTTCCCAGGAAAACATCTAGCAGTGGAAGATGACCAGGTCAGAGCTACTAAAGCCTGGTCTATTACTATTGGACCATCTCTGAGGCAGTAAACTGATTCTCCAGGCCAATATAAAACTAAGGAAAAGTCTACAAGAACAATTCCAGAAGCTAGTGAGAAACAAGGGGCAGAAAGCTGTGGCACAAAAACACTGCGGGATTCTGGAAGACTGCAAATCCTTTCATTTAAGTCCGGGATCAGATCAAATCCACCTGCCACAGTCCATGTCCACAGATAACATTTCACTTTCAGCCACGAAAAAAAGCTGAGGAAAAAAGATGGCTCATTGGAACTTGAGCCCCAGTTATGTTCTTCAGACAGAAACTCCATTATTTACCCTTTTACCACCAAGAACCACAGTGCTTGGAAAACAAGGTGGTCCCAGTGGGAAAATGGTATTTAAGGGGACAACGTTCTATTTGTGTACACTGGAGCCACTGGACCCCCTAGGAAAAGCAGCTGGGTTTGTGTCAGGAAGCCCACCCCACCTCGCCCAATTCTAGGAAATGGGACCAAACTCTTGTCTGCAGGGCCATTCATTCATCCTTTGAAAAAAGGCTGGATTTAGACCTAGGGTTCCAGTTGGCTTTGCAAAAGGATCTGTGTTGATATATACAGGGCCTGATGGAGAAGAGCCTAGGTGGCCAAATGACTTGGGGAAAGGAACTTGGCCAGTAGACCTTGGAAAGGCAGCTGGACTTGACCCCTGTAGGCCAGTGATCCTTGGAAAGTTGGCTGGGTTTGGGGCTCCTGGCCCATAAGCTCTTGGTAAACTTACTGGGCTTGGGGCCTGGGGGCCAGACCTTGGAAGGGTACCTGGGTTTGAAGTCATTGTGCCGGAAGACCAAGAGAAGGCAATAGGGTTCAATCTTCCTGAACCTGTCCCCCCATGGAGAAGGATTGTCATTTACACCCGTTGGGCCATCCGGCCTTGAGAAGTGATCTGAATTAGGGCCTATTTTAATTAAGGCCAGAAGCCCTTAACCTGGGAGATGGATTTGGTTCTGGTAGACAATTTCTCACGAACTGTGACCAGAGACTATGGGGGCAGGTATTGTTGCCATGAAGGATGGGTTTGTACCCATGTAACCGGAAGCCTGGGGGAAAGTAGCTGCTTTCCCAAAGACCTGCTGCTCTTAGAATGGGAGCAAGATATAAGCCTTTTTTATGTAGTCGTTTTCGTTTGTTTGTTTTTTGTTTTATTTTTACTCGAATAATAAGTTCCATCATCAGGGTATATTTTAAGGTACAATAACAGGTGCTTTATTTCTCAAATGCTTTCATGTGTACATCTCAACCATAATTCAACTGCCACATTTCATTTTCTTTTGATATTGTTGTAATTTATTTTAAAATAACTGACATGGAGACAAGAGGGGAAAAATGAAGGAAAACGATGGAAAGGGTGACATTGTGCAAAAACACTGTACTCATAACCTGGCTTATAGGATTAGGACAACTAATAATTAAAAATAAATAAAACTAATATTTACTTGACAAAATATACACACTGGAGGTCCAAAATAAGGAACTGATATACTTGTCTACACTGAAGAAAATGCCAGTCAACTTTATTACATCCACCACATCCCAGTGTGTGTGTGTGTGTGTGTGTGTGTGTGTGTGTGTGTGTGTGTGTGTGTGTGTGTGTGTGTGTGTGTGTACTGATGTGTTTGAGGTTCTTTAAAATATGCTATTACATTCCCAAACAAATAACAGTAATATTATTCCAATCATCATGCTTTAGATTAGATTCTCCTCAACATTAATTATCTAATATCTATCTTTTGATCAAAATTTCTCCATTTATATTCCTTCCCAGATCCTGGCACCCACCAATCAAATTCCAAATTCTTAGGATTCATTTTGTTTTGGTAAAGAATTTTGAAGACAATGGTCCTTGGTAAGTGAATAATATAAATTTTTGTGTTATTTTTTAACCATGAAATAAGTATTTTCGATGTATTTTGACAAATTTCTTATTATTATGTTCACAAATTAAAACTTGTTTCTTAGGCTAATTATTTTAATCATAATTTTTCTTTTGTAGTATGTATCTTTTCCTCATGCAGTTTCAAGTTTTATGCCAAGTACATTGATGTTTAAAATACATATTCTCTTCACATAAAAGATGTAAAAGGTTCTTGTTTACATTTCCAAGTATTTTCGTGGATAGTTTTTCCTACTTTTTTCATTGTTCATGTTGCTGTTTTTATACTTTGAGTGTATAAACATGTAAGACATAGTTTTCTTAATTTTTTAAAACATTTATGTTAAAGCTACTATATTACTACCATGATATATTGCAAAGAAAATGATCTTGCTTTTATGGTGGAAGGTATTTACATATTACCTCTTGCCAAAAAAAATAAGCAATAATATAATAGGATAACTAAAAACAAATCTAATAGCAATGGTCATTATAGTTTCTATAATGTATCCTAAACCTGGATATTATCTCCTGATACACAAGTAAATAATAAAGATGTTAGCTTCTATTAATAAAAACATTAGGTTACATACCCATTCCATGGTGGTGATACAGCATGGATGTAACACCATCAAAACGAAATCCATCAAAACAATACTCTTCCATCCACCATCTTAGGTTTGATAATAGGAATCTTAGAACTTCCCAGCTAAAATATTAGACAAACAAATGTAGTTAATTGTGTTTCTTATTTCTATACATTCTTGGCTCAGAGAATTGATTAGAAGTATCAATCTAAGCGGGCGCCAGTGGCTCATGCCTATAGTCCTAGCTACTCAAGAGGCTGACATAGAAGGACTGTGGTTCAAATCCAGCCAGGGCAGGAAAGTCCGTGAAACTCATCTCCAATAAACCACCAGAAAACTGGAAGTGGCACTGTAGCTCAAGAGGTAGAGCACTAGCCTTAAGCTGAAGAGCCGAGGGACAGCACTCAGGCCCAGCGTTCAAGCCCCACGACCAACCAAAAAAAATAAAAATAAAAAAAAAGAAGTATCTATCTAAAAAAAAAAAAAAACCCACGATGTTCCAGGAAAATATTCAAAATCCAGGAATCAACTAATAAAACATTCAATTGTTTAGTGAAATTAGTTTTAAAAGGAAATTTATTAGTTACTTTTTTGTCATGAAATAACTTAGTGAAGAGATGATAGGAAAATAAATATTTTAAAGGAATCCCAAGAGAACAGACTGCTCTGTCCAATGTTGTGTGTTCATCAGCTACAATGGTTATTATCCTAGCAGCGTTTTAAAAAGTATGTAAATTATCTTTGAATTTTTACCAAGATTTTTCATTTAATACAAATCTGACCGAATATATACTTATATATTCAGTAGCAATGTACCTTCAATAATAGTCTGCTAAAAATATTCATGTTACAATTTTAAAAAGACATAATTCAGAATACAAAGCCAAAGATTAAAACAGAAACTTGATATTAGGCGATATTGTATTTGCCAGAGTGTGGTGGTTTTTTTTTTTTTTTGGTCCAGGTACTAAGGCTAGAACTCAGGACTTGTGTGCTGTCCTAGAGGGTTTTTGAAAAAGGCTAGAGCTCTTCCACTTGAGCCACGGCTCCATTTCTGGCTTTTGGTAGTTAATTGGTGATAAGAAACTCAAGGACTTTCTTGCCCTGGCTAGCTGCGAACCCTGATCATCAGACCTTAGCCTCCTGACCTGAGCCTCCTAGATTACAGGTATGAGCCGGGGCAGCAAGCTAGTCTAGGCTTTGTAGAGCTAAAAGGAAAGCTAAATGTTAAAAAGCAAATGCTCAAAAACAAGTTGTACAAACTGAAGAGCTGAATATCCACACATACAGAAGGAAAACAAAGAACTGTACAACTCAATTAAAAACACCACATGAAACAAAGCTATTTCGGACAACTAGAAGGAGGGCAGCATCAATTAGCATTTTCTTTAGTCATATAGCTATGCTTGAGTTCTCTATCTTATTATAACTGTGGTGTTAAGACTTTAATACTCCATTTAGTTTAATGACAAAGCTGTAAAAGTGTACACAAATCTTTAACCCAGTTGAAATTTGTAGATTTTTTTGAACCTTTCATATATTGAAGAGTAATCGAACATAACCAGAGAGTAAATCATCACAATCAACTCTGAAATTGTAAATTTAAACACCCAGAAAGATGAATGTTGCTAGTAATTAGCTGCTTTAAATAGGTGACTTTGAATTTGAAAAACTGAAACTTATGCTAAAGATAAAAATAAGGATAGAGTTCTAAGCAATCCAGTAGACAGAGGAACCATGAAGATCCGAATATTTAACGTTAAACCATGAAGATAAAATTTGCTTATATGTTTGTATTGATACTTATTTTCATTTATTATTTAAGGAATAAACATATTTAACAAAAAGAAATAAACACAAAGAGGCATACTATTTTTGATGTTTTCATTAGTAGGTTTTATATTTTTAGAGAAGTTTTGATTTAAGGAAAATGATAATGAATATATAGAGATAATCTTTTTGCTCTCTGTTCTCATGAATAACTATACTTTTTTAAACACCTGCTGGGTGAAAAATGTCAGCAAAAAATATATGCATATATTTTCATGTCAATGTAATTTGAAAACAATATTCTGAAAAGGACATACACAGTTTTCTAGTTTGGTCAGTGAACATAATGTACATTTTTCTTTCAAAAAGTAAACTGAAAGAAATGTCAGTCAAAAACACACCAGATTATCAATAATATTTGTTTAAATACTAAATATCCTGGATAGATAACAGGAAAATATGACTCTATAAATCAGATTATAAACTAACCCTGGCTTTGTCCTAACATGTACGATTGTTTTTGTGGCTTGCAGAAAATTTTATTTTATTTAAAAAAAAAATCTGAATCCTGTACATTCTATCTCTCCACATTCCCACTCACTGCATATTTTCTTATGCCTGCTATATGTACCCATTGATATTACCAACTTCAACTTATAGACATTCTCTGTCAATCTAACACAAATATCATGGGCTAGATATTGACTAGGTAGATACAAATTTGTAACATAGAAAAGGACAAAATCAAATGACAAGAAAATAATGCCCAATGATATTGTAATTTATTACAAACAGAAGAAGGAAATGATGTGAATTTAATAATAGAAAATAATGCATTCTCAATATCAGACAATGGATTAAATGCAGAGTTAATAAAAGCCCTACTGATTCCTATCATTAAAATATTTACCCTATTTTATATTTTACTAAGAGCAATAATACAACTATTTAATATATTAAAAGAAAAAGATCCATTTGAGTGTAATTGTGTTCAATCAATGTTTCACAAAAAGAAAAAAAACAAATCCATCAAATATTGAACTGATAGTATTAAATTTGTACTGTTATCAAAATAATCTGCCATTATATATTATCTCTAAATAGTTGTATAAAAGAGTTACCATTTAACAATCAGTTTGTGAATATAATGCATCTTGCGACCTCTCTTAACATTCCTACCCATCTTTCCCAATCCACTCCTTTCTCTCATTTATTAAAAATTTTTCAGGATATATATTGAATTTTTGGCCTCCTCCTCCTCCTCCTCTCCCCTCCCCCTCCCTTCCTCCTTCTCCTCCTCCTCCTCTTCCTCTTCCTCTTCCTCCTCCTCCTCCTCCTTCTTTTTGTCTACTCCTCTCCCCTATCCCCATTCTACCCATTTCAAGCACCCTTTTCCTGTGTCAATTTTGTTGAACTTTGCTTTCTGAAAAATTACACTATTTGAGTCCTCCCTTGAATCAATCCCATTTTAGTTAATATATTTGTTATATATTTGATACCATATAACATTCTTACTTAGAAACTAATTGTAGCTCTCACATACGAGGGAAAATACACAACCTTTTGCTCTCGAGCCTGATTTGCTTCACTTAATATTTTCCAAGTCCTTCTATGTATTTGCAAATGATACAAAATTATTATTTCTAATGGAGGAGTAAATTTCCATTGTGTGATAAGTATATATAACATTTTTTTGACCCATTCACCCATTGAGGGGCATCTTAGCCACACCTTGGCAGTGATGAACAATGCTGCAATGAACATGGCTGGGCTGGTGGCTTTACTCTACCTTGCTTTGGAATCTTTTGGGTAAATGCCCAGGAGTGGAATTGCTGAATCACATATTTTAGAAATCAATAATTTTAAAAAAGTAGTGTTCCCCATAAAAAATTGTAGAAGGATAAAGATATACAACAATTTAGAATATACTAAATAATCTAGATTTAAATTTGTGAATAACCAAAATTCAAAAACTATTTTAATCAAAATATTAAAAAATAGCATCAAGAGAAAAAAAACTGAATGCAAAATTTTAATGTTAGCAGCAAGTAGGTGAATGTTTAAAATAGTATGTCTGTAATAAAAGTAATTTTATAAAATTAGATTACTAGGAAACGTTATAGAAAAATCAACTTTATAAGGCTAGAATTTTAAATAACTAGCCTTCATTATGGATGAAAAATGAATTATCAGAGCTATATATTGAGAGAAACCACAAACTCACACACACACAAAAATACATTACAATCTTTGTGCTCCAAAGATTTTGTTAGTTATAAACACCTGAGGTGTGACATCTGCATATGAAAAATAAATGGATTATATATTTTCAAGGCACAATTCAGAACTCACAGATGAAAACAGGTTGACAAATGTTATGCTTTCAGTGGAATGAAGAAGCAGAATTTTTTTTTTTACAACAAGTAAATATGAAACTTCAAGCCACCTCTAGAAAATTTCACTAGAAGACTCAAGACTAGAAAACTCAAGATATGCTGTACTCATGCTAACCATGCTTTATTACAGGGTAAGACTACAGAGGAAAAGTAGCAAGGAAAATAACTCAAGGGGAAAAGTTCAGAAGGAATCTAGATGCTAAGTTATAAGAACCCTGTCCTGATTCTTTCCATCAGGAAAGCTCACTCAGTTTCCAGGGATTCATTGGATAATGGAGACCAGGCACTCTCTGCCTTGATATACAATCAAGCCCAGACCCTCTGTCAGAAAGCAAGTGTTCAGCATACTTACACTGTTTTTACAGAGATATGAAACAGAAAGAACATAGTTCTATGTAAGAACTTTCTAAAATCTATGTTTATGGCCACTGGCCAAGGCAAATCTTGTAGTGAGGCGCTTTTTTTTTTTTCTTCAGGATAGCAGTCTTAGTCATGTAACATTTATTTTTTTTCCTTCATAAAAGCAGACCTAATTCTATAATTATAAAATACTTAGTGATTTAGGTTTCTTAAGAGAGAAAAAATAATCATTTTATCTCAGAGATTCTCAAAAGCAAGCTAAAGAATCTTAAATATGAATTCAAAATCCCAATAGTGGAAAGACACTTGACTGAGGTACATTGTTTTGAACCTAATTCCAACAGCTACACTGGATAATGAAAAATATTATATCATATATTATTGAACTACTTCATTGAATCTAAAATGTGGAGGGCACGAACAAGCTTAAGGATCATGTCACCAGTGAAAATATAGATTAAGATGTCCAATACTACTACCATAGTTTTCACATTCAGCACTCATCAGTTCTACTTTTCATCATTCAGGAATTAGGAAGAGGAGTTATGATGAATTCCAAATCACTGCTGCATTAAAAATATTGCTCAGGATATCTC